CGCGCACACGGCCCTAGCAAAAAAAAGGTGCGCGGCGCTGGCGGCCCTGGGTCCGCGAGGTGTGGGGCGAGGCGGGGAGCCCGGGATCTGGTCCTCGAGATTTGGGACCCTGGGCTCTCTTTGCGTTTAGGATTTAGGGTTTAGGGGTTAGGGTTTAGGGATTAGGGTTTAGAGTTTAGGGATTAGGGTTTAGGGTTTAGGGAATAGAAGCCTCCAAAAGCCAGCTACTCTTCCGAAGGGGTTCCTTGTGATTGTACCGTAATATGCTTCAAAGCACTATTCTAAGAACTTCGGCCCGTATATCAAGTTCAGGGTTTTAGGATGTAGTGTTTGGGGTGCAGGGCTTTGAGTTTAGGGTTTTTGGATGTTTGGGGCGCGCTGAATGTCCAGATGAAGCAGTACGGAGTTCAGAACGCGTGTGATACGATCACTTGTCAGATTTTGGGTTTGATTTGCTTGTGTCTGCAGGCTACTGATTCACTGCAGCCGATAGTCTCTTAAAGTTGAAACGGATCTCCGTTGTGAGCTGACCATATCTTGGCATCCCATGCTTGTGGTCGGTCGCCCAAGATGTCGAGGCCCGCGCAGGTGCGCCCCACGCGAGAACCAAGCCTTTTCGCGACGAGATGTTCATCCGTTTGGAATTCGAAGCTTTGAGCCGAATATAGGAAAACCACATGCAGCGCCCTTTCTTCAGCTTATAGTTTCGCACCGCAGCCTCGTAGAACGCCGAGGCTGAGCCCTAGAGACCTTCGAAGTATTCGCTTTCGACATGTCAAAGAGCCCTCAGGGAGCCCTGTATAAATACTAGATGGGTGATGAGTGTCGGATATCTTTACTCTTGAGAAAAAACCTCATGAAACCATGATGAATACCTCACGGGTCTCGGATATCTTTAGAACTCCAGGTTCTGCGCAACCCAAGAGCCTGGAGTCCCTTTGCAGGTGCCTTCCTCTCCCCCGCGGTGCCGCTCCGCTGCCGGGACTACGACGTAGTTCCAATCGCCCCCAGGCCAGGCAACCAATAACTCCAAAACCCAGCTTTTCCAGGAATAGACCTTCTTAGAGCATAAGATGGATTCCCCTAGAACTGAGGGTGCATTCCTTGGTCAGGGGCTTGTTGGAGTTTCTGGAGAGTCTCCCAAGTTTGAGTGGGATGCCTTCAGGATGTATAGCTGTACTGAGCTCCCCAAATCAAAGAAAGTTGGCTGGACCTTTCAAAACATGCGAAGTACCACGCAAGCTGGGAAAACCGTACAAGCCTTGAGCCGTCGAGCACAGCCCCGAAGTCAGCAAATCCAAATTCTGCGGGGAGCGAACTCGCGTGGTCTGAGCGAAAAGTTTTCGGGGTCTGGAGATCTTTGGGGTGGAGGGTTCAGGGTTCCGGTTTTCGGATCGTGATACGGTGCTGAGGCAGCCCCAGCTGCATGCTCCTAGTGAAGCTGCATCGTGGGACACAGTCGGACAAGGCCTCACGCAGCGAACTCCTTGCTGGAGCGGCCCGCAGACACTGCCCTGAGCCCTTGAAGCTGTGAGCCTAACACGGCATTGGCCCCTTACCCCTAAAACCGTACAGCATCTGCAAACCCTGACCCCCCCTAGACTCCACAATCCCAGAGACCCACCCAAGCCCAGCACCTTGGCAGGGCGGGTCTCATTCGCTGGGTGGCTGCGACGCCTCGGGGTTGCTATCCGGAGGGCAGGGCTCAAGGTTTAGTTACCGTTTCAAAAAGTTAAGTTGGTCCAGGGTTGAGGTTTGGGGAGCAGAATTCGAAGGTCTTGCTTCAGAAGCGGCAAGGTTCAGCAATACCAGAAGAGTTCGACAACGGCAGGAAAGCTTGGGGAGGTGGGGCGATGATCGTGGTCATGACGATGATCATGATGATGATGATGATGATGATGATGATGATGATGATGATGCCCAAACCCCCTAGGTACCTACTATATACGGCCCTAGGGGCTCTAGTACCCTATATAGTAGGTTAGGGATGATGATGATGATGGTTATGTACACTGGGTCTGCAGCAGCTGAGGCCCTTCTTCGTCATCCACAAGCAGCGCCGGCAGGTGCTCTGCTTCACCGCGAGTGTCTCCGGAAGTGCTTGCCTCACAGAATGCATATATATATATATATATATATGTACAGATATATATACACATGTGTGTGTATGTATATAATACGGGACCTTCAAGGTGCTAAGTGGTGGCCTCTGCTGTAAGACCCATGTCGGTTCTTGTTACAACATATCCGCGATCCGATGGAGGAGCAGAAGTGAGTGGGTGAAACTTAGCAAGTCACCACATCGGGTTTCCTCCTGTTGAGATTCACCCTTCAGCTTCTTAGTCCCTGGAAGCCAGCAGAAGAGCAGCTACAAACCGACGAACCTGACAAGGCTAAGAAGATGATTGGAACCAGTGCGATCCGAGCCTCTTCGTTCGAGTCAGCACAGCAACATACCCGTGCCCTTCACTTCAAAGCCAGGCTTTGGCAGGTGCTTCGTGCTCTGTTTGTATAGGGCCTTAACTACCATCAGCAGTCATAGGATTTTGAGGTAAGATTGCCTGTTAGAGTTCCGAGCCGTGATGCAAATTGATTGACGGACGGAACCTTATACAGCCTGGAGGGCCTTAAACTAAAGGAACACCAAACCCCGAACGCCGAAGTTTTTACCCCAAACCCTGAACCCAAAGTCTCTATACCCTCCAACAAAAACCAAATCCTAAACCCCAAACTTCCCGAAACCCCTGAAGACTTAAGCCGCAAAGCCCGGAGCTCTTCTCCGGTCCGGAGGCCTCCTCGGGTGAGCCGAAGACGAAGGCCCGTTGTCCCTGGCGGGGGCTGGAAGGGCTTGCGGCTTTGTGGGGCTTAGGGTTTAGGGTTTAGGGTTTCGGGGTGCCTTTAAGGGTTCCTTTCAACATTCCTTTAACGGCTCCTTTAGGCGTGCGCTTAAAATCTGGGGGATACACAGGGGGTTCGGGTTTGGGGTTTAAGTCCAGGTGTAAAAGGGGCCTTTTGGATGAGGATTTCGGGACTCCTCGGTCGTATCCCTCGCGAGAGGCGAGAAGGCTCTGTGTTTAGGGTTTAGGGTTTAGGGTTTAGGGGTTAGGGTTTAGGGTTTAGGGTTGGGAGTCTCCGCCGGCATACAATCCAAGCCCATGCCGACAGGGTTTAGGGTTTAGGGAATTTAGGGCTTGGGGAAAACGGATTTAGGCAAAAAAGGGTTTAGGGGTTAGGGTTTTAGGGTTTTGGGTTTCAACACGAATCAGCCTTAGTACGGGTTCACAGAAAAGCTGGGGTCTAAGAAGACCCTGCGTTCGCGGACGAGCTGCTGAAACAACTCCAACCCCGAATTCCCGATTTACGAATTGCCTCGTTTCGAGCATGGTTGTTCCGACTGCCATAGGCTGCCTGCATGTTTAGTTCTCTTCTTTGGAGTTCTTTGATTTGCTTCTCGAACCCCACACCCCAAAAGGGATCCCAATTCCAGGATAGAGAGGCCTTGAATTGGCGCTTGTTTGTTTGTTTGTTTGTTTGTTTGTTTTGTCTAATGTGAGGGTTGTTTAAAATGGGGATAGGAGGGGCTGATGGGAGCTATAATCCTTAGAACATCAGCCCCAAGCCGCCGGAAGTTTGCCACGATTTGGATTTAGCGCGTGGGGCTTAGGGAAAAATCGTTGAGGTTCTGGGATTTGGGCTGGCGGTCGTCCCAGATGTGAGGATTCTGGGGGTGCTTTTTGCACGCCAGGTCTCGCAAGAACCTCAAACTACCCTCAAACCCTAGGCCCTACCAAAGCCAACCTCCCCAAAACCGAAGCCCAACGCCCCCAAGGCCCCCCAACGCTAAAGCCAGGATAGATGTTGTCAGAACCAAGATCTGGGGTTGCGGAGAGCGGCTGTTCGTGAGGGTCTGAGGCACCCGACCTTTAAAGCTCAAGCGCTAAATCGAAACTAAAGCTGCAAACCCTGACCCTCAACCCCAACGCCTAACAGCCGCAGATGCTAGAGCCCTATGCAAATCCTAAGACCTTAATGCCCTAACCCCCCTAAGCTCGGAAGCTCTAAACCTTCTACAACGTGTTCGGCAGAAGGACTGCCAAGTCACAGCCCTCAGAGTTGCTTGAGTGAACTCGGCCCGAAGAAGGCCCCGAG